CTTCCATACGACGACGCGACACACACACACACACACACACACACACACCCCCCACCCACACACACAGCCCCCCCCCCACACACACACGAACAAACCTGGCTGCCATCCGTACACACGAGCTCAAATACGTGCGGGCGCTTGGAGTAGTTTTTGGCCACAGCGCACTGCGCACCAGCGAGGTCCGACACCGCCTGGATTCCCCAGATGCAACGTGGACACAACAAGCACTCACATGTCAATTGCCTGCACGCATGCAATGTAGAAATCAAGAACCAAACAATCACAGAAATACCAGCAACCTCCCCCCTCCGCAATCACCCAACACACACACACACACACACATAGGTACGCACCAGCACGCGATGGTCTTTTGGATGAAGGAATTTGAGCGCGCGTCCCTCCAAGACGGCAAAATGGTCCTTCCACGACCGCAGCAAGGAGCGCTTGCCCCTGCTCTCGTATTCCACCTTCCTGTGCAGCGCCCCCTGCATGAGCACGCTGTCCCTCTGCTGTTCACCAGCACCCTGTTTCGGGATCGTGGCGCCCTCTGCCTTGGCTTCGCCTTCTGTTGTTGAAGAAGCCACCGTCGATGCTGGGCTGCCGCGCTCCTGCGTAGCACCCGCATCCACTGTCGGCGTCTCGTTCCCGCTCTCGCCCGGCACCTGGCGTGTCTCTGGCTCCTGCTGCTCCTGCTGCTGCTGTTGATGGTCGTCATTGTCAAGTGTGCTGGATGATGTTGGCTCGTCCACCTCCGCAATGGCTGCAATGTTGCGCGCATCCTCAGCATCACCACCGCCATCTTGCATGAAGCTGTCAAAGCCGTAGTGCGAGGCCCGTGCGCTGCTCGCCTGGCTCACGCTCAGCGCCGCACCCCGCGCCACAGTCGCGTCCACATCACTCGCGGCGTCCCGATCCTGTTGCTGGCTGTCTGCGGTGGCCGCACCTGCAGTCGTCTCTGTGGTGGACTCTGCGGTGTCAGTATTAACGCCGTCTCCAGCGCTCCCTTCATCGCCATGACCCTTTGCTGCGCCACTCTCAACCTCCGTCCCTGCAAGGTGCTGCTTGAGCTGTGCGTCATCTGAGGTCGCAATTGAAGTGTCACGTCCACCCACTTCCTCGCCCTGTTGCTCTTGTGCCTGCCCACGCTTCTGCAGTGCAGACAGCATTGCCCCTGCCGTGGAGGAGGTGGCTGCTCGCTTGGACGCTGGCGGCACGAACGATACCGCAGCAGTTGCTTTGCGTTCCTCTTCTTGCCGGGCCTTTTCCGCCTTCTCCTGCTCGCGCTTCTCCGCCTAACAAAACAAAACAAGCAAAAAGCACACACACGCACACGCACACAGCGCAAAGTGAGACCGTGCAAGCAGGCCAGGGAAATCAATTCTAAACACAGCAGCCCTCACAAACCAAAGGCAAAATACAACACAAACACATCATATCACAACACACCATTCAACACAACACAACACAACACAACACGTACCGCCGTTGGTTGTTCGATGCGACGGATGCGTTCCGTCTGCGCCGCAAGCGAGCGCTCAAAGTCCTCGTGCTTCTTCAAGAGCGCATCAATATCGTCCACGTCGTCCAAATCATCATCCAGCGTGAGAAGCCCCTTCTGGTAGCCAATCCATTGCCGGGTTGCCTCGGCATGCTTCAAGAACGCCTGCGTCTCCGTTGCCGTGTCCAGGCCATCGAGCTTGTTCTGCCACACCTGGTGCACTTGGTCGTGCAGCTCGCGCAGCGCACGCGCGTCTTCTTCGATCCGCGTCCGCAGTTGCCGACACACCTGCTCATCTCCGACACCACCACCACCCTCACCGCGTTCGTGCTGGCCCTTGACCCCAGCTCCTTCCCGCTGGAGAAGGTCGCGGCTGGCATCGACAGCGGTCTGGAAATCGCTCTCGTGGGCGTCAATCTCTGGCTTGCGCTCCGCGTGCCGCTTCCGCTGCGCCTCGCACACGGCGACGTCACTCGCAGACTCCTCCGCGTCCATCTCGGCCAGCATGCCTGTGTAGAACTCGTGCAGATCCTGCCCTAGTTCCACCCACTGCTGGCCCGCGAGCAGGAAGTCCAGCGCGCTTGTTCGGCCCGCGTAGCCGTCCCGCAGCACCGCCCATTCCGAACGCATCGAAGCCATTGCAGGCGCAGCGCGCTCCTCAAGCTCCCCCTTCAGGTCCTCGTCCTGGAGCGTCCCATACCTGCTCTCAAGGTGCTGCACGCGTGCCTCCAGCGCCTGCAGATCACTGCATGCCACCTGGTGCTGTCGCTGTAGACGCTGCAGCGTGAGCGTGTCGGCGAGGCTCAGCTCCGTGAGTGACGCCGCCTTGTCACGAATCCACATGACCACATCCTCCACATCCTGCAGGAACGCAAACACGGTCTGCATCCCCTTGAGCCGCGCCTGCCGCTCAGCGCCAACCTCCTTCAACTCCGCGACCAGCGCCAACAGCGCACGCTGCTTCTCTGCCAGCGCACCGGCCTGTGCATGGCCGGCGTCGATGTACTCCTGCGCTTCTGCGCACAGGCGCTCCGCAGCATCGCAACTCTGCGCGTGCGTCTCCATCGCAGCCGCGTGCTTGAGCAGCAGGTCGTCCACCTCGTCCTTGTGCGTGCCTGCAGGCGCATCTGCCAGCGCCTGCACGTGCTGCGTCAGCTGCTGCACAAGGGCCTCGTGCTTGCGGCAGAACCTGTGCCACTGCAACGAGGCCTCCAGCGCAGCCGTGCGCCGCTGCCCCTGGTCGCACACGGCATCGTACTGCTCCTCAACAAACGACTGCCGCTCGGCAATGCTCTCCGCCAGCGCGTTGCCCGTGCCAATCAAACCCTCCGCCTCAGACTGCAGGCTCTTCACAAAGCCCTCAAACGCTGCAATGTCCGTGGTCACCGCAGCGTGCTGCTTCATAAACGCCTCGGCGGTGTCCGCGTCGGTGCCATGCTCCTCGCTGCCAACCAGCGGATGCTTCTCCCGCAGCCACGCCTCGGCCTCGTCGGCGTGCGTGAAGTACTCGTGTGCCTGCAGCGAGCCTTGCAGCTGCACGCCACGCTTCTCCACAGCGGCCTCCAGCGCCGCCCACGCATCCCGCAGCTCGTCCATCACAGCCTCAATCCTGTCTGAGCAGTGGTGCTCCGCCTGCACAAGCGCCTGGCCCTGGTCCATGGCCGCGTCCACCTGGGCCTTGTACACGGTGATGCTGTCCACAAGCGCATCGTGCACCTTCACCATGCGCTGCACGGCCGTCAGGTCGTCGCCAAAGTCCGTTGACTCCGCAGCTGTGGTCCGCTCCGCCACCCACGCCAGGTGCGAGTGCACCAGCCGCACGTACCGGTGATACTCCAGGTGGGATTCGAGCTTGCGCGTGCGCTCCAGCTGCGGGTCCAGCAGTGCGCTGTGCGCGCCGACTAGCTTCTCCACCGTCCTGGCCATGCTTCCTGCGCGGAAGTGCTTTGCCGCCGCGTGCTCTGCGGCCTCCTGCCGCAGCATCTCAATGCGCTCGCCGTAGCTGGCAATCTCCGCATCCACCGCCTCTTGGCGCTTCAGCAGACGCGACGTTGCGCGCGTGTCGTCGCCAAGCTCCTCCGAGGTCACCTTGGGCATGGTGGCCGCGCACCAGGCAAGGATGTCATCCGACCGGCGTGAGAAGTCCCACAGGTCCTGCGCCTGCTTCAGCCGCTCGCTCTTTCCCGCCGAGTGCTCCAGCAGAGACTGCCACAGCGCCTGCAGCCGCTGCTCGCGGTCCGTCACTGTGCTGGTGGCGTAGTGCCCCTCCTCGGCAAATTGCCGGCGTCGGGCGACCAGCGAGCTCAGGCGCGGCTCGTTCGCCTCCAGCTCAGCTTCAAACGCCTGCTGCCGCTGAACCTTGCGTGGCAACGCGTTCAAGTCGTCGGGCACGGCCTCTTCTTGCGCCACTTTATCGCGCACCAGGATCCACTCTTCCAGCTCGTCACAGTCACGAAGGAACTGGTGCAGGCGCTGCGATGCGTCCAGGCGACGCTGCCGTTCCGCGCTCAGCTGGTGCAGCGTTTGCTGCTGCTCCTGCACGGCCAACAGCTTGGCAGCAATGACATCCGCCGCATAGTGCTGCTGTGGCAACGCTTGCTTCTGCTGAGCGGCGTCCTGTGTGTTCTGCACCGAAGCACCGCACTGGGCCATTTCTTGCTCTCCGCTCTGCTCACCAACATCACTGCTGTCCTCGCCATCGCCCGCTGCGCCTCTTTCGTTTTCGCGATTAGGCTGCCCTTCGACCACCCCTGCACCCGCATCCGATGACGCGGAGCTGTATGGGCCTGCCTGCTGGCGCATCTGCGTGTCGCTGACATCAGCGGTGTACCCAAGTTCTGCCTCTGCATATCTCACCAGCGCGCGAATCTTCTCGTCGTTTGTGGTGAGTGTGGTTGCAAAATCGGCGTGGCGCTTCAGCAGCGCGCTCACCTCGGGCAGGGAGGTGCCCACGCTCTGGCGGTGCAGGCCTTTGGTGGCCGTGTCCATCCACGCCATAATTTGCGCAGCGTCACGAAGAAACAGCTGCAGGCCGTGGCATTGGCGAAGCACTGTGTCTCGCGCCCGCCACGCATCTTGCAGCGCAGCGTACCTGGCGGCGGCCTCCGCGTACATGGCTTGCATTTCCTCGCTGGCGTAGTGGTTCCGCGCACGCAGGCGCGTGACCACGTGCTCCACACGGGCCAGGTCTGTCTCCCGCGCCTCAATGTCCGTCTTGAGTGCAGCGTGACGCTTGCACAGCACCTCGGCAGCGTTGACGCTGTGCGCAAGCTCCGTGGACGCCATGGTGGCCTCCACGTCCGCCATCCACGCCGTGACGCCACGCAGCCGCGTGACAAACGCCTGGTAGTCGCGCGCGTCGTTCAGCTTGAGACGCCGCTGCTGCGCCATGCTTCTCACCTCGTTCCAGCGCGCCTCCAGCTGCTCCTGCTTCTCCTGAACGGCACACATGTCTTCGGTGCGGTGCACGCGCGGGAGCCGGCGAGCCTCCTTGCTCAGCTCGGACAGGCGCACATCCAAGGCCCCGAAATCGCGCATGGCCGCATCGTGCTGTCGCTGAAGGGCCTCAACGCTCTCCGCGTCACGGCCCATGTCGTCCGCGGCCACGGCGCTCTGCTTCTCCGACATCCACGCGTCCAGCTCCTGCGCGTCCTTGAGATAGGTCTGCACGTCGACCGCCACCTCCAACGCGTGGCGCTGGCGGGACAGCGTGGCCTCCACCTTCTGCCACCCCGTCACCAGCTCGGCCTCTGCATGGCGGACGACGTCACGCTGGCTCGGCAGCTGCGTCATAAGCGTTTGTGCCTGCTCTTGCAACGTCTGCACACGCTTGCTGTCGACTGCGGTGATGTCCCGCTCCAGGGCCTTGCACTTTGCCTGCACCTCCAGCGTCATTTCTAGATCCTCCAGCGGGCGCAGCGCTGCCAGCTCTGTGCACCGCTTGCCGAGCTCCTGCACAGCATCTTCGGACTTGTCCACAAACGACGCAATCTGGATGGCCTCCCTCAACGCCTGCGTTGCCGTGTCTGTCTCAGCGAGCAGGCAAGCGAGGTTGGCGCGCAGCCGCTGGCAAACGCTGCGGATGGTGTCGGTGTTCTCGTGGCTGCCACGGGACAGCATTATCTCCCCCGCAGCCACCACTTCGTCAACAGCGGTGCTGGCGCTCTGCACCTCCTCCTGGTATGCCAGCTGCTTGTTCAGCCGCGCCTGGAGGTTGAAGATGCTGCTGGTTGCTGCTGCTGCTTCTGGCAGCGGCGTGTCAGTACCGGCGCCACCGGCGCCACCAGCGCCAGCGCGCGTGCGCCTGCGCTTCACAGCCATCCAGTGATCAATGTCCCCAGCCTGTTGCAGGAACGCCTGGAACTCGGCGGCGTCGGTGAGGCGGCGGCGGGTGGCTTCATAGGCTGCCTTCACCTCGTCCAAGCGCCCTTCCAGCCGCGTGCGCATGTCTGCCGCAGCATCGGCACAACAGTAGTCGCCCAACACCATGCGGTCCACCTGGCCGCCCACAGCGGCAATGCGGTCAGAAATGGTGGCAAGCGCCGCTGCTTGCACTTTGTGCTGTGCCAGCACACGCTCCGCACTCGGGCCCTCCACATCAGGCAGGCGCTGCTGCTGCTGTTGTTGTTGTTGTTGTTGTTGTTGTTGTTGTTGTTGTTGTTGTTGTTGTTGTTGTTGTTCCGTTTGTTCTTTGTCTTGTCCAACTGCGTCGTGGTTTTGGACTGGGCTCGCAGCAGCGACAGCAAAGGACGCAGCCAGCTGCACGGTCAGCTTTTCCTTCGTGTCGAGTTGGTCATGCAGGGCCTGCACCTCGCGTTGCAGCTTGTAGTATTCGGAGAGCTGGTCCAGTGTCTTCTGCCCGGCTTCCCATGCCTGCTGCACGTCCGTCATGCATGCCCTCGTCTCTTCTGCAAGTTCACCGGCACGCGCAAGCTGCCACTGGGCCAGATGCGCAGATGCGTCCTCTGCGCCATCGTCACCCGCCTCACCGTTCGGTCTGATACCCTCGATGTGGCGGCCACGGGCTGAGCTGGACAGCTGCTGTTGCAAGCCCAGCAAACCGTCCAGGTCCTCCGCCTGCGTGGAAATGTCGGCTTTGAGCTCGAGATGGCGCACAAGCGCAGCCTCCACGTCCCGTGCGTTGGTCAGCACCCATGCACCGGCCTGGCTTGTGAACGATGCATCCGCAGTGGCGGACACGTTGGTGTTTGAGCTGTCGTGCGAGCCCACCAGCTTTTCTGGGGACATTCGATGTGAGGCATCGAGCGTCCCAGATGGCGTGACAGGTGCAGACGCACGCGAGGCTGGCCGCGATGTCAGCACGGTCGGAGAAGACGTGCCACCAAGCAGAGCAGAGGTGGGTCGCTTCATGGGCGTGCCAAGCGACCGATCAGCTGCGTTGCCGGGCTCATGGTCGTACCGGCATCGAGGCAGCGTGTGCTGGCACCACCGCAAATGGCGCTGGGCGTCGCGACAGAAGATGAGGTACTTGTGCAACTCGGCCAGCTTGGCCCTGGATGCTTCGACTACGGCGAGCAGCTGCTCCCATGCAGCGGAGACGCCGGCGTTGGTGGCCTGCAGCCGCTCCTGCTGGGAAGGGAACGCGGTGCACAGCTGGCTGCATTGCGCCGCGACATCGTGCACGGCTGTCTCCAGGGCGGCCAGGTCGTGCTCGTACCCTTCGTGCTTCCGCTGCAGCGCCTCAATCGCACCCACTTCCTCTGGCGCAGAGGAGATGTCCACCAGCGCGCATTTGTCATGGATGCGTGTCTGCACCTCCTGTGCCGTGCGCTCAAAGTGATGAATTTTCAGGGCGCCGTCCAGCTCGTTCAATCGCTCCGCGCTGGCGGTGTCGAACGCTTGCTTGGCAGTCGTGAGCTTCTGTACCGCGCCAGACACCATCTCCCGCTGTTCTGGTGCTTGGGGCACGGAGCCGTCTTCACCCTCGCTGAGGAAGGTGCGCGCCTGTGCACAGACCTCATCAAGCCGCGCAGGCATGTTGGCCTCTGCCTGCTCCTGCATCTTGTCGAAGCGGTCGCGAAGCAGCTCACAGTCCTCCTCGTCCTTTCCAATGTCGTGGTTGGAGGCCTGGTCCACCAGCTGCTGCAGCCAAGCGAGCGACTCAGCCAGGTCCCGTGTCAAATCGTGCATCCTCAGTTGCTGCTGCAACAGCGCGCGTCGGTGCTCCGCTTCCTCCTTCAACTCGGCAGCGAGGCTGAGGGCAGAAGAAATGTGCTGCTCCACAGTGCGCAGCGTTGGCTGCTGGCCATCGCCCGTGCGGTCGTCGCTTGTTTCCGGTATGCTTGATGCCGGTGCACGTTCAGCATGGGCGTTGACTGTGTCTTGCAGGTGCAGCAGCTCGGTTTCAAGCACGGCCAGCTCCTCCCGCACAGCCTGGTGTCGGGAGATGATGTGTTGCGTTGCATCGCGCTCGGCGCCGAGTTCATTCACGGCTGCACGGATCAATTCGCGCTTCTCCTCCAGACCCGCCACCAACGACGAGCACTCGCCCAGGAAGCGGAAGATGGTTGCCGTCTCCTGCAGGTGCAGGCGCCGTTGCACACACGCGTCGCGCACCTCGGCCCTCTGCTGAGCAAGGTAAGCAGCTGCAGCCTCAAGCTGCGCAACCAAGTTGCCGCCAACACTGCTTCGCACGCTGCCGTCACGGCCAGTGGCCACGGCGTGAGAACCTTCGCTGTCGGTGGTGGCTGCATGGCTTTCTTGGTGCTGGGTGTGGTCCTCCTTGTATGCCTCCACGCTGGCCATGCACTCGTCGACAGACTGCTCTTGCGTCTCCACCTGTGCCATAAACACCTCGTGCACCTTGATGAGGGTCGCGTTATCTCGTGCTGTGGTGCCGCACTGGGTGGTGGACACCTGCGCCAGACGCGCCTGCAAGAGCGACGTCTGGTACTGCAGGTCGTGCAGCAGCGTGTACCCTCGCAAGGCATGTTGCAGATCGCGCTCGCACGCATCGACCGCTGGCTGCACCTCCGCAAAGGCCGCAGCAGCCCGCTCCGTGCGCGCTTTGATACCAGCAGCGTCTGAGTGACCGCTCTCAACAAGCCGGACACACAGGTCCTGAAGCGTGTCCAGGCGAAGCGCCTGCACGTCCAGCTCCGGCCGCACGTTGGCGGCGATGGTTTGCAGCAGCGCGCGCACGCTGCTGCCAGCACTTGCAGCACCTGCATCTTGCTGCTGCTGCTGCTGCTGCTGCTGCTGCTGTTGCTGTTGCTGTTGCTGCTGCTGTTGCACATCTCCGGCAGCCCCACTGGTCACAGAACCATCGTTGTCGGAAGAGGCACGGTGTGACGGGGCGCCCCCGCCACGGTTGTTCTCGGCACGTGCGCGAATGTCCGTCAGCCGGGCCGTCATGGTTGAGCACCACGCCATGTGGTCAGACACAAGCTCCTCAAACTCGCGCTGTTCAATGGCTTCACGCAAGTGGCGACCGCGGTCGGCCGCTGCCGCCTGCACCGCTTCCCATGCCGTCTCGAGCTGTTGCGCCATTGCGCTCAGCGTGTCGGCCTCTTCCCTGGCAACGGTGCCAGTTGCATCACCAGCATCGCGCGCGCGAACATCAGCGGCTCCGCTCGGGGCGGCATGGCGCTTCGCAAAGGCGTTGGCTGCTTGCACAGCCCCCTGCGCGACACCATCGTAGGCCTGGATTTCAGCAGCCAGCGCATCATGCTGCCTCAGCTTGCGGTGCAGGTTCTGCTCGTGCTGCGGCGACGACGGCTGCGCACTACCAGGCCCGGCTTCTTCACCCTCGCCCTGTGACACTATTGCTGCCTGCTGATGATGGTTGCTTGTGTTCATGCCCGAGTCGCCAAGCAGCCGCGCCTTCTCGTCCAGCCAGGTTTGCGCCTCTTGCAGTTGCTGTTCGGCGGCGTAGAACTCGCGCTGGCGCTGAATGCTCTCTTGTGCTGCAACAAGCATGGCCTCCAGGCGATCAACTTGCTGCTGCGCCAAGGTCAACGCATGTTCCAACGCGGGCGCAGAAGGCAGCCATTTCGCTGCGTCCCGGGCGTGGGCGAAGGCCTCCTCGTCTCCCTGGGCATCGGTGGGGGCAGTGGGCATGTCGGTGCTGGAAGAGGACATGCGCCGGCTGCTTGTGATGGAGCCCGAGCCCTTCCTGCCACCGCTGCTTGAGCCACTGCCCTTGTGTAGTTGGGTCTCGGTGGCGGCCAGCGTGTCGCGGTGCGTGTTAAGCAGCTGGTGCTCCTGTTCACAAACGCGCAGGAGGTGGTCCAGCTCTGCCGCAGACCCCGCCTCCCACCGCGCGCGCGATTTCAGGCGCTGTTCTTGCGCCGTGAGCACGCTCTCCAGGGCATCGAGCCTTGCCTTGAGCCTGAGCTGCCGCTGCTGTTCCTTGAGGAACGAAGCACGCTCACGCCAGCGCTCACGCTGCTGCTGCTGCTGCTCTTGCACCTCATCAACAAGAGCGCGCACGTCACCAAGAAGCGTGGTGCTGCCACCACTGCCGCCACTGGCTGTGCTGACTGTGCTGTCGCGCTGGCGTGCGCCTGCATCGGGCGTGCGTGCGCGTTGCCGTTGCAGGTGCTCCTGCTCTTGCTCAGCGATGATGGCGTCGTCCAGCAGCCGCTCTGCTGCTTCCAGCGCCTTGGCTGCCTGTTGATCGCGCGCGTCCATCTCGTTGCGCAGCTCCTCGTGCGCCTCAATGGCCGCCTGCACCGCCTGTACGCTGGTGAAGGCGAGGCCCAGGTGTGTACGGGAGCCCGATGGCGTGGTGCGGCTCGTGGATGGCGCGGATGCACCTGGTGATGAACCTGGGCTTGCAGCCGTGGCGGCGGCAGTTGAGAGGGGGTGCGATGGCGTGGTGGGCCGGGTGGTGGCACCCTTCATTGTCGCCTGCACGTTGCGCAGCCAGGCCCGCGCATCGGACAAAGCACGCTTGGACTGCAGCACGCGTGCGCTGGTCTCCAAACTCTGTCGCCGCGCCGCCGTGGCATCTTGCAGCTCCGCAAGCTCGCTCTGCAGCTGCTGCGCCTTTGCCACAATTGCCCCCGCGTGGGCAGGGTACTTCTCGGCAAGGGTGTTGCCCTTTGCGCGATGAGCGGCGACCGACTGTTGCACCGCCTGCACCTCGGCCTCAAACTGATCCTGCTTGCGGGACAGCGCCTGCGCGGACGAGGCGTCGCGCGGCTGCTCGCCATTGCACAGCGCCGCCTGCTTCTCGCGCATGAGCGCGCGCAATTCCTCTGCGTCACGGTTGAACGTAAGCGCACGCTGCGACGCGCGCAGGGCCCGTGCTCGCTGCTGCGTGGCATCCTGCAGCTTGGACCAGCGTACGTCGAGGTCGTCGCGACGCTGCTGCAGCTGTGGCGCTTGTGTGTGCCCGCTCTCGAGCAAGCGCGCCGTTTCATCGCGCACGTGCTGCAGGCGGCTGCGCTGCGTCTCCATGTCGGCGCTGTGGCTCTGGATCTGCTTGAGCAAGTTCTGCACGTGGTTGAGGTCTTTGCCCGTCTCTGTGGAGGAGATGATGGCCGTGTGGTGCTCCAGCCACGCGTCAAGCTCCTCGTGCTCAAGCAACAGCGCATGCGCGGCAACCGCGTCCAGCAGTTGCTGGTGCCTGGCCTTGCACTGCTTCTGCAGGTGGTCAAACAGCGGCACAACGGCCTGCAGCGTCTCTTCAACGGACGCGCGCTGCGACGCGGAGAGCTGAATGCCGCCCGCACCTGCAGAGCGCTTGCCGGCCTTGACCTCCTTGACGAAATTGGCAGGCACGTAGCCCAGGGCGCCATCGGCTGTCTTCACGCTCCACCAGTCCTTGTTCGTGTCGCTGATGAGGGTGAACATGTCCCCCTTCTGGAAGCTCAGCTCGTTCTTGGACCGGCTCGCATACGCGTGCAGCGCCTTGAGCTGTTTCTTGCCCCTTGCGCCACTGGCGCCACTGGTGGCGCCGCCGTTTCCGTTTGCGCTGTCCTTGGCAGCCTGCGGCGTGCCTTGGAGCTTGAGGTCGCTGCCGTGCCGCTTGAGCGCGGCCACTGTGCGAGCGAATGCGTCCAACTCGTCCTGCAGTGCCTCGTGCTGGCGCAGGAGGGCCTGCGACGCAGACAGCGTGCTGCCGGTGTCCTGCTCCGAAGCCAGGGGCTCGCGGTGCTTGAGCCAGGCCAGGGCCTCGGCTGCTTCGTTGCTGAACAAGCACAGCTGCTTGTTGAGCTCGAGGTGCTTGCGGCGACTGGACGCGGCGCTCTTGAGCGCATTAAAGGCCGTGGACAGCTCCGTGTTTCGCGCCTGGATTGCCTCTGCTGCAAAGTGGCCCGCCTGCACGAGCTGCGTGCCCTGCGCAACGATGGGGCCGACGTCGTGTTTTTCCTGCTCCTTGAGCTCTGCAATGAGGGCGGTGTGCTTCTTGAGGAGACTGAGCACGGAGGTGACGTCGCGGCCGTGGTCCGTGGACGCGGCACTGGACTCCTTGCTGGCAATCCATGATGCAACCTCATCGGCATCGCTCAGGTACGCCTGCAGGCTCAGGGCGTCCTGCAGCTGCTCCCTGCGCCGGCGCACCTGCTTGTCCAGCTCTGCGTGGAGGTGCAAGAGGCGGTCTTGCTGCTCCTCCAGCATGGGCGCGCGTGAGTGGCCCAGGTCCACAAACTTCTGTGCCTGCGCGTTTACGGCGTGCACGCGTTCCAGCAGCGGCTGCACGTCTGCCTCGAGCAGGCTGCTGTGGGTTTCCAGCATCTCCTCGCACTCTTGCACGTGCTTGCCAGTCGTGGTGGAGGAGGCCGTGGTGAGGGCAGCAGCGAGCGCCGCGGCAACGAGGTTCATGGCATGCAGGGTGTTTGCGACTTCCAGCGCCATGTCAAGCTCCGCCCGCTTCTCCCTGATGAGTGCAAGGAGCTGCTCCCACTTATCCAGGATGCGCTGCTCACACTGCGTCACCTCATCTGCCGCGTGGTAGCCTGCGTCGCGGAGCCCGCCTGCCAGCTCGCACATGGCCTCGATGCGGTCTGCGTGGGCGCGCACATCCGTGTCAATGGCCTCGTGTCGCTTCACCGCTGCCTCCACAGTGGCGAGCGCGAATTCGCCCCCGCTCGCCGCGTCGGTCGTCACGTTGCTGCTGGCGGCGGTGTTGGCTGCGGCAGTGCCGTTGCCGTTGCCGTTGGCGGTGGCTGTGGTGTCCACGCTGACGAGGGTGAGATTGTCGTCGAGCCACGACTCGCGAAGGTCTGCTTTGCGATAGAACTTCTCAGCCAGCTGCTCCAGCCGCTCCTGCCGAATGACGGCGGCGCGCAACGCCACCTCGCGCTCGTGCTCCTCCGTCTCCAGCACAGACCACTCGTGGTTGATGTCCGTGATGAGCAGGCCCTCCGGGGGCTCGTACACGGGGTGTGATTGGGAGAAGAGGCGCGTTTGGATGGCAAAGAGGTGTGCCTCCAGATGGCCGCGCTCGACAAATTTGGGTGGCTTCTCCACGGTTCTGTACTGCTTGAATTCCAGCAGCTGGCGGCGAAGCGGCTCCAGCCTGTTGGCAAAGTCGCGTTTCCGCAGCCGCTCTGTTGTCGCCACAATCCACTGGAGAAGGGCTCTCGCTTGCTCCTACATTGTTGCGATGTGTGTGAATGAGAGAGAGAGAGCGAGAGCGTGTGTAGGTGTGCAGGTGTGTGTGTGTGTAGATGAGTGAGAGAGTGAAAGGGACGAGGAGGGGAAGAAGGCGAGGGTGTGTGTGTGTGCGCGCGCGCGCGTGTGTGTGTGTGTGAGGGTGTGCATGTGGGCTTGTTTGTTTTGTTTCTGGTGTGCGCACACCGTTACAGAGTCTACACCAGCAATCACCATTGTGGCTGGCGTGGATTTGATGCGGTGCACATTCAACAGACACCTCATATTGGCTTTGCATGGCGTCCATGTCAAGGAGGAATGTGAGGAACTTGTTGAGGCGCTTGATGTCCACTTCAGTGCTCTTGAGCTGAGACGCGTAGTGGTAGAAGCCCGCCAAGTACGCCATGACCGACTTCTCGTCCATCCCGCGCTTCACATCTGGTGTGGGCAATGGGAAGCAACAGCAACAGCGCGTGAGCGAGGTTGGTGCGGGTCGAAAGGGAGAAATTAGATTAGATTATGGAAAACCCCGAGAGGTGGGCGCGGAGTTGACGAGAGCTTGGCGGGAAAGGGTTGGGCAAGGTCGTCCACACACACACACACACACACACACACACACACACACACACACACACACACACACACACAGACACACATACACACACATGCGTACCTTCTGGCTCGAGGATGGTAGAGATGCCAAGGTGATCTTCGGCAATTTGGAAGGCAGACTTGAGATTGCGAATGGACTTTTGTGGGTCAAGATCATTGTAGCGCACAAGGTCCGGTCTGCGTTGAAAAAAAGAAAGAAGCGTTAAGAAGTTGAGGCAGTAGGTCGAGTTAGAGACAAAGCGAGGGGTGCCCGACAATACAAACCTACGCACCACACACACACACAGACAGACGCGAAAGGCACAGATGCACAGACACACACAAGACACACAGACACACACAAAGACACACGTGCACACACGCGCACACAGACAAGCTGCGAGGCGTATTTGTACCTAAAGCTGTGGATGATGGCGTTAAAGGCCATGCCATTGCTCCAGCTTGATGTGAAGTTGCGAATGTCCACGTTGGGGTAGCCCTTGGTGACTTTCTGGCACCAGTAGAGAAGGGCCTCCTTGGCGGACTTGGCGTCGCCTTCGAGCTGGATCTCTTGCATTTGGAATCGCAAGATGATGGTCCAGATGAGGCCGAGGATCAGGCGCGGGTTTCCATCCACAATGTTCTGCGCGCTGATGTTCTCCAGCTTGACCTTGCTTGCTTTCAGGAAGCGGAGTGCGTGGGCACAGTTCTCGAGTTTGTGCACGCGCAGGCGCCCGCGCGACGGCGCAGGCAGCTGCGCCCCGGAGATGGTCTCCAGGAGCGTGAGCAGCACTGTTCCATCAGAGAGGTCGCTGTACAGGTCGTCGATGTGCAAGCCCGTGTCACGCAGGATGCTATTGATCCAGCGCGTAAAGGCGCGCTTTTGCACCTGCTCCCGCTCCACCTGCAACGAGTGCTGAATCTCTTCCATGGTGGCCGGTGCTGCCTTGTTGCCTCCACAGCAGTAGGATGAGGCAGCGGGTTAGCTGGTGATGGCTGCACTCACTGTTTGCGTCCCGGCCCGGACAGTGGATGGTGAATGAGCGAGGGGATGATGGTGTCTGTTGTGTACAGTTTGTGGTTGTGTGTTGTCTGTGCTGTTGGGGCTGTTGGGTTGTTGTCTGTTGTGCGCAGTGCAAAGCCCTTGGTCGCTTGTTGGTCTTTTGTCGTCCGCCGTTGTTGCTTGCTTGCAACACGACAAACAAGGGGCAAACCTGGCAGCAGAAAATTAAATGAAGACATACATTGAAAGTCGAGTAACTGTTTCCGCGGCAAATTCGAAATTTCATTTTCCATCCATCCACAACCACAACCACAACACCAGCACCTCACCATCCTCGGCCCTCCCCGCTCTCATCCCTACCACTGTTGAGACCTCCTTTGGGACGCAGAGGGAACAAGGACGCCGTCATGTCGTGGCGTCAGAACGAGTGGAAGAACAACCTGCCAGGGGTCGCCCTGCAAAAGGTTCGTCATGTGTGCGTGTTGGTTTGTGTGTTTGTGTTTGTGTGCGTGTGTGTGTGTGGGTGTTTGTTTGTGTGTGTGTGGGTTGTTTGTGTGTGTGTGTTTGTTTGTGTGTGTGTGTGGGTGTTTGTGCCTGTGCGTGTGTGTGTTTGTTTTTGTGTGTGTGTGTTTGTGTGCATGTGTGTGTGTTTGTTTTTTTGTTTGTTTGTTTGTTTGTTTGTTTGTTTGTTTGTTTGTTTGTTTGTTTGTTTGTTTGTTTGTTTGTTTGTTTGTTTGTTTGTTTGTTTGTTTGTTTGTTTGTTTGTGTACATTTGCATTGCTGTCAAGCTGGCCTTCACTCTGACAAGTGACATGAATACAAAGTTGGGCGACATGCTCGGTGGTTCACTTTACGTTGTGCCTTGTTGTTGCTGCTGGCGCTGCCAGGTTGAAGAGTTGGAACGCCGCGTGCAGCAGTTGACGCGCGACACGCAGAACAAGACCTTCCAGATTGACAACTTGAATGCGGCGCAAGTCAAAATCAAGAACCAGGCTGCTGAATCAAAGCGTCGCGTGAGTTCTCAATGGGGGCCTGGAATGTCTTGTTGGCGTGTGCAGCCCTCGCGATCATGTAACAACAACAAGCAAATGAAACTGGTCGCGTTCGTGGTGTACAAAGGCAACTCACCGATGCCGTCTTTGCCTGTGCATGGCGCATCATCGATTGCGCACAACAGGTACAAGAGCTGGAGCGCGAGGCATGCTCCCTCGGCCAGACCATTGACCAGCTTCATCGCCAGAACAGCCGTCTTCAAGATGATGTCAAGGTGCGTGTGAATTTGGATACCTGTGTGTGTGTGAGTGGGAGAGTGTGTGTTTATGTGTATTTGTGTGTGTGTGTGTATTTGTGTGTGTGTGTGTCTGCGTGTGCGTGTATTTGTGTGTGTGTGTGTGTGTGTGTGTGTGTGTGTGAGGGTGGGTGCGCGCGAAAGCTGATGGAAGAACAAGAGAATCACAGGGCAAACAGTCGAAGCACGCCCCAGTCTATGTTTGTCAATAATACGTGATCATCGCTGGGAAAACTCACGTGTACACGTCGCACTGACCTGCCCACACACAATCTCACCTTGAAACTTGCACACTTACACGAACACGCACATATTCTCATGCTCTCACGTTCGTTTGCATGATAAAATGGCACAGGCGCGCACAATGCAGATTAATCAGCTGGAAAACAAGATTGCCCAGCACACAAAGGAAGCACAACGTGACAAAGCGACAATCAAGGACCTGCACGCAGAAGTGAGCCCATGGTGCAACTTGTTCCCACACAGTGTGCTTTGTTTGTGCATCGGTGTGTTTGAGCGACACTTGTATCCCTCTCCCTCGTCTCATTTTTGTTCCTTCACACCAATACACGCATGTACACACAAACACACACACACACACACGTACACACATTAACGCACGCACACACACACATGCTCACGCATGCACACACACACACACTTATGCATTTGGCAGAACGCGCGCTTGCAAGACCAGGCTGCAGCCGCTTCAAAAGCACAAGAGCACAGCACCTACCAGCAGGTCTCAACGCTCAAGCAGCAGCTCCTTGAGGCAGAGAACAAGATCAAGTCCACGGAAACACACTACAAGAAGCTGCTCGAGGAAGCTCACGTGAGCATCTCATGGACATGCACATATTGTGTGCACAATGGTTCATTCTGTCACAGTTGCATTCGCGCGCACACACATTCGCACACAGTAACACACACACACACACACACACACACACTCGCACACTGTCTCACAATAGCACACTCTCTCAAACACGCACACTCGCTCACACACACTATCTCTTTCCCGCTCTTGCAACCACAGGATGCCGCTCAGCGTGTGCAGGATGAGCTGGATGCAGCACGCGCCAACATCGAGGAGCTGCAAACAGGCATGAAGCAGCGTGAGACCATTGTGGAAACCATGCAACAACAGCTGTCCACGCAGCAGCAGACGTCATCGCAGTCGCTGGAAGAAGCGGACGCACATGCACACAAGCTGCTGGCCAAGGCAACAAAGGAGGCAGAGGCACGCAACCTCGAGATTGAGAAGCAGCAAACGGCACAGCGCGACCAGCTGGAGGCAACCATTGCTGACCTGCGTGCGCAGCTGAACGCCGCCAGGCAAGACTCCCAGTCGACTGAGAGCGAGCACACAATGGCTGCGTCCTCGCTTGCACAGCAGTTGGCAGACAGCAAGAAGGAGCTGGAGCAGCTGCAGGCCAAATACGCGCAGGCGCAAGTTGGTCTGGAAAACGCAGAGGCCAAGGCAGCTGCGCATGACAAGGCCTTTAAGCAAGCGCAGAGCCGCGTCACAGATCTTGAGAACGAGCTTTCAGGCATGTTCAATGAACAGACCATGTCCAAGGACAAGATCACCGAGCTGGAGGCTCAGGTGCGAATGTGTTTGTTTTGCTTTGCTTTGTTTGGTTTTGTGTGTGTGTGTGTGTGTGTGCGTGTGTGTACTCTTGCCTGCGCATGTGTTTGACGCAGAAGCGCACACAGTTGTGGTGTGGTTGTACTTACAAATGCATTTGTGTGTGTGTGTGCTTGTGGGCGTGTGGGCGTGAGCCGTCTCCGTTTCGTGCGGTGGCGCGCTGCTGTCCCCCGTGTTTCGTCCCGTTCCTCTCACGCTCTCATTCCGCTTGCGTTGTTGCTTGTTGTGTATTGCCGCAGGTCAAGTCCTTCAAACAGAACCTTGCGGCAAGAGACACGGCATACAAGCACTTGCGGCAGACCAAGCTTAAGCTGGAGAGCACGCTCAAGGAACAGGCTGAAACGCAGGAGAAGACAATGGCAGACATGCAGCAGTTGCTGCAATCAGCACAGCAAGAGCTCAAGCAAGAGCAGGAGGACCACACGGCAGCCAAACAGGTTATTGACGCCCACAAGAAAGAGCTCGCTTCCCTGCGCACGCAACTTCAAGAACAACAACAAGCCGTCGTCGCAGCCGCCTCACAGGTGTGAACGTGTGTGTGTGTTTGTGTGAGTGTGTGTGTTTGTGTGAGTGTGTGTTGTTGTTGTTGTTTAAGATGTTTAAGTTGTTGTTGTTGTTGTTGTTGTTGTTGTTGTTTAAGTTGTTGTTGTTGTTGTGTGCCAAGCGTCCAGCGTTTTTGGCAACTGCAGCTGGACGGTGTATGTCACAATGTTACATCATCGTCACAGCCACGTTGTTGTGCCTCACTCACACCCACACACACTCGCTCCCTCTCCCTCCCATTCTCAAACAAACAAACAAACAAACAAAACAAACTCGCAACCCTGCCTCTTTTTGCGCTCTCTCACCCTCTCTGACCAGGAGCGCGTCAAGGAGCTTGAGGAACAGCTGGAGCATGCGCACGCTGTTACAAAGAAGCTGGAGGTGCAAACTCTGAATGCCGCTGTCACCCACAAGTCCATTAAGGAAGAGGTATGAAACATCCCGCTTGTGCAAAACGACGGCCCGAGTTTCACACCTCTGTTGCCTTGTGCATGCAGAACCAGCAACCTTCACTCACTGACTCACTCACACACGCACGCACACACACTCACATACGCACGCGCACATACACACACTCTCTCTCACACACACGCACGCACGCACACACGCACGCACACACACACACACACACGTTCACACTTACGCTGTCCGTTCGCGTGCACGTGTCCTGTTTCTTGAACGCAGGTGGTAGGGTTGCGCAAGCAGGTGCCGCAGCTACAGCAAGAGCTGGACCAAGCTCAAGAAGCGCTGAAGACGAAGACAGAGGAGCACGCCACTGCGCTTGCAGAGCTGCAAAAGGCCAAAGACGATTGCGAGTCCCTCAACACGGCGCTGGCAAGCGCCAGGTCCAAGGTGGATGAGATGACAAACGAGACAGCAGCAGCATCGGCGGCTAGCAACACCGCCATTGCACAGCTGGAGGAGCAAGTGCACGTGCTGCAGAAGGAAAAAGACGACTTGCAGGCGCAGTTTGACAACGCCCGCGCAACGCACGATCAGCTGACCAAGGAGCGTGACGATGCACAACAAGCGCTTCAAGAGGCGCAAGACGCAGCAACAACCGCCGCCAAGCAGGCAGCCGAGCTGCAAACCCGTGTGCAAGAGCTGGAGGCAGCAGCACCAGATATGGACGCCATCAACCAGCAAATGGAACAGCACCGCGCCACGCTTGCTGAGAGGGAGGCTGAGTGGACCACCGCACGCACGCAGATTGAGGCGTCGCTGGCCAAGGCACAACAGGAGTGCAGTGCACAGCAACAGCGCGTGCAGCAGCTGGAGGCGCAACTGGACGAGGAGTGCCGCAAGCACGAGGCTGCGCAGACGCAGCTGCATCACGCTGTGGCAGAGGCGGAGGCACAGCTCTCAGCTGCACAAGCCACCAACAGCAAGCAGGCACGCGAGCTTGACAACGCCAACGCCCTGGTGGAGAAGTACAAAGCCGAGCAGCACGCGCTCCGGCTGGCCTCGGACAACTTGGAGCGGTCCATGCGCAAGCTGCGGCGTGACCTGGACAGCCACGCAGCGTCGGCCAAGGATGAACTCGCACAGACATCGTCCTCCCTGTCGGCGGCATTCACCAAGCTGGAGCACCTGGCAGCAGAGAACAAGACGCTGCGAGAAAAGCTGCACAACGCAGAGGAGGCAACTGCCACCCGCACGCGTACGCGCACCCGCGCTGCAGCTCAGCTAAAGGACGAACTGGCGCAAGCGCAGGCAGATATGGAGTCCCTGCAGGAGCAGCTGCAGACGAAGAAGGACGAGTGTACCGAGTTAACCGCACGCCTGAAGGAGGCCGACGACTTGGCCGCCCAGCTGCGCACCGAACTCACCGCCATCAAGAACAACGCAAGCTCAAACGACGCGGCGCAGCGGGACCTTGCAGCCAAGCTTGAGCAGGTGCAGGCGCAAGCAGCCGCGCAAACACAGCGAGCAACGCAGCTGGAAGAGAAGCGTGCTGAACTTGTCCGCGCTGTGGCATCACTGGAAGGCAAGCTGGCCCAGGTGACCAGCGACAGCCGCGAGGAGGTGCACGCCCTCAAGAAGGAGCTGGATCACATCGCGCAGGAACGCGAGAGCCTTGTTCGCAGCCTGGAATCTGCACAGGAGGAGCAGAGCACGGCTACCCACGACGCACTGGCCGCCAAGGAGCGCGTGAAGGAGCTTGAAGAGCTGTGCGCGTCCCTCAAGGAGCAGGTGCATGCCGAACAAGCACGTGTGACAGAGGCAAAGGCGGAGGCCAACGCACAGGCTGCCCAGCAGCTGCAGGGCGAAATGCAGGAGCTCATGGCGAAGGTGGTGTCGCTGCAGGACGAGCGCACGGAGCTGCAGCAGGCGAAGGTGGCGCTGGAGGAGAAGCTTGCCGCCCTCACGCAGGAGATGGCCGCACAGGAGAAGTCCACGAAGGAACTCAAGCGGAACCTGCGCACCACGCGCATGAACCTGGAGGCGCAGCTGGAGTGTGCGCAAGAGGACGCGGAGTCCCTGTGCGAGGAGAGCGAGGCCAAGGACGAGCAGCTGTATGCAGTGAAGAAGGAGCTCGAGAACACGCAGGTTGCCCTCAAGGCCGCGGAACAGACGCAGCAGCGGCTGGAGGAGGCTGAGCAGCAGCTTCGGGCTGAGTTGGCTGCGGGCGAGGAGAAGCAGGACGCACTGCGCGATCAGATCAACGCCCTCAAGGCAGAGAATGACAAGCTGCAGTCGAACCTCGCGTTTGACGATGCCGTCGTGCACTCCAAGGGCGATGAAGTCAGCACCATCAAAACGCGGCTGGAGGAGGCCCTGGCAGAGCTTGACGCCGTCAAGACCCAGCACAGCACAGAGCGTGAGGCGATGCAGCGTGATCAGGAGACAACAGCGCACGAACTGCAGCAGGCCCAGCAGGCATGCGAAGAGCTCACGACGCAAGCCTCGCAGGAGAAGGCAGCGGCAGAGGCAGCGCATGTGGAGTTGGAGAAAGCCAAGGCAAAAGCACAGGAAAATGCGGGGCAAGCTGCTTCACTGGAGGCTGAGCTGGCGCAGCTGCGGGAGTCTTCCAAGCTTGAGCTCGATCGGGCGCAGCAACAATGCTCCGAGCTTGAGGACCGGGTCGCCTTCTTGCAGTCGCAGGACGCCCGCCGCACACAGCTGCTGGAGCAGGTGGAGCAACAGGAGAAGGAGCTGCAGGAGCTGAAGGCCGCGAAGAATGAAGTTGACGCGCAGTGCGCAGAGTTGCAGCAAGCGCAGCAAGCCACGGCTGCTTCGCTGGAGACTGCAGAACAGCGTCAGCGCGAGCTGGAGGAGCAACTGGAAGCGGCGCGGTGTGAGCGGCAAGAAGCCAAGCGCGCACTCGACACAGCCCGTGATAAGATTGCGCGCCTGGAGAAGGAGGCCGAGGCAGCCACATCCGAGGGCGAGCAGCAGCGGCAGCAGCACGAGGAAGCACGCAACGCCCAGCTGCAGCAGCTGCAGTGCTTCCTTGACATGAAAGAGGAAGAGCTTGTGGTATTGCGGGCTGAGGTCGACAGCCTGAAAACAGCAGTGCGGCAGGCAAACGACGACGTTTCCAAGCTCAAGGGCGAGTGCGCAGAAAAGGCGGCGGCACTTACGGCTGCAGAGGAACAGCGCCAGGAGATGGTGTCGCAACACCAGCGCCTGCAGCAACAGCAGGCTGAGGAGCACCAGCTTGCGCTCGAATCCAAGACGCAAGAGCTCGCGAACATGGACGACAACATGAACAAGCTGCAGGCCCAGCTCGATGCAAAAGAGGAGGAAAAGTTGGCCGCTGAGGCGAAGATTGAGCAGCTGAGCAAGGACATTGACCAACTGCAGACAAGCAGCGCCGAGAGTGCCGGGGCCCTGAACTCGGCGCGGGAAGCACTGGCCACAGCGGAGGCCCAGCTGGCTCAGAACAGTATGGAGCGCGAGGCGCTGGAAGAGGAGCTGCGCGTGCTCAAGGAGAGTGCAGAGCGCGATACGCAAGAGACTGCTGCAGAGCTGGCGCAGGCGACAAGCGCAGCCAAGGAAGCGACAGCGGCACTTGCTACCGCACAGGAGGAGCTGACACAGCTTCGCGAGCAACTGCAGGCACAAGCTGACGAAGCCGAGGCAAAGCAGGCGAAGTTGGCCGCCGAGTCCAAGGTGGAAATTGAGCGCCTAGAGAAGGAGGTGGCTGACAAGAGCCAAGCTGCTCAGGCCGCAGCTGAGGCACGGGACGAGGCCAGCGCCCAAGGCGAAGCGCTGCAGCAGAAGCTGGGTGACTTGCAGGAGCAGGTGTCTGCTCTGGAGGAGAGCCGCCAGCGCTTGGAGGCGGAGCTGGTGTCTGCAAAGGAAGATGCAGACGAGTCCCAACGCGCGGCACGCGCAGAGCACCAGCAACAGCTTTATGAGGTCAACGCCAAGCATGCGCAGGAAGTGGACGAGGCTGAGGCAGCAGCACAGGCAGAGCTGAACGACGTGCGCTTGCAGCACGAGACTGCCATCTCAGCGATGAACGAGCAAGTCGAGGCACTGGCTTCTGAAGTTACATCCCTGAAGGAGCAGGTTGGGGAGCGTGAGCGTAGTCTGGAGGAGGCCAAGCTCGACCTGGAGACCTTGCGCACAGATCAAGAGAGCAGCGCGTCAGCTCAGCTCCAGGAGTTGCAGAGCGTTCGCGAGCAACTCGCCGAAGTAACAGCAACGGCCGAGCAGAAAATGCGGGAGATGGAGGAGGCGCACAGCGAACGCATGCAAGCCGCCCTCACCGAAGCAACACAGCAGCGAGAGAAGGCGGAGCAGACGCATGCTGAGGCTGTGACCGCGTTGGAATCATCTCTGTCGGACCTCAAGAGCGAGCTGGTAGCGAAGACGGCAAGTCTCGATGCTGCAAAGTCGTCGCTCGAAGCGCTGCAGGCCGAGCTGGACCAAGCCAATGAGAGCAACGCCCGCTTGACGGAGGAGATGGCAAGCCACCAGCAAACGTCTGCAGCGGCTGGGGCACAGATCGCAGGCCTTGAGCAGCAGGTGAGCGACATGAAGGAGCAGCTGCACACCAGACAGGCCGATCTTGAAGCTTCCCTTGACCAAGTGAGCGGGCTGAGGAAGGATGTTGCCTCGCACCAGCAGGAGATTGAGCACCTGCAACAGGCCGCAGCCTCCAAGCAGGAGGAAGTGGCACAACTGACGACGCAGCTGGAGACTGCGCAGCAGGAGCGTGATGTTGTCAAGACCGAGGTTCAGGAGAAGCAAGAGCAGCTGGGCACGGCTTTCGCCAGCCTGCAACAGGCACAGCAGGAGCTGGAGACTGCGCAGCAGGAGCGTAATGCTGCCAAGACCGAGGTTCAGGAGAAGCAAGAGCAGCTGGACACGGCCTGCGCCAGCCTGCAACAGGCACAACAGGAGCTGGAGACTGCACGCATGTCCTTTGAGGAACAAAACGCCAGCATGGCCAAGCAGCACCAAGCCGCCATCACATCCCTGCAGAAAGAAGTTGAGCAACTCACCAACTGTGTTAATGAATACAAGGCGAATCTTGACGCGGCTGAATCGAAGACAAGTGAGCTCTCGCAGGATCTGTCTTCCGCCAACAACGCCAAGGTCACGACCTTGCAGGAGCTTGAACAAGCTCGAATGGCGCTCAGCGACAAGGGCGCAGAGCTCGAAGCACTGACACACCAACTGCAAAACCTGCAGGCGGCCAAGGTGCGTTCTGAAGAGGAGGTGCAGGCAGCTCAGCAGGAGCTGGAGTCTGTCCGTGCAGAGATGCAGACACTCCAGGACAAGTGCAATGAGAGCGTGGAGCGTGCTGGTGAACTGCAGTCACAGCTTGATGATACGCAAGCCCAAGTGACTGAGCTCAAGACCAGCCTTGACACGGCGCGTGCAGAATTGCGGGCTGCCAAGGCTGAAGCAAAAGCGGCGCAGGGCAATCTTCAGGACGGGCAGCTGGACATGGCCAAGCGCCAGGCTGTCCTTGAAAGCGACATTGCTGCGCTCGAGCAGCAGCGGGAGGTTCTGCGCGACGAGAACGCTGCCGTGCGGGCGGAAGTGGAGGCAGAGCGGAGCCGGCACCAGCAGGCTGCGCAGGCCCTGGAGACTGCACAAGGGCGCGTGAGTGACCTGGAGCGGCAGGTGCAGGAGCAAGAAGAATGCATTGCATCGCTGCGCAAGGACATGGAGTCCGCGTGCAAGCGGGTGCGCCAGGAGATTGGCGACGCCGCACAACAGCAGCAAACAGCGCAGGAGCAGCGACTGCAGGAGGCGCTGGCGGCCGCAGAGGACGCAAGAAAGCATCTTGAGGAAGCCGAGGGCGACAAGGCCGCTGCCCTCGAGGCGAAATCCGCCGCGGAGACGGCCAGGGCGGCGATGGAGCGTGAACTGCAGCGCGCACAGAAACGCGTTAGCAAGTTGGAGGAGCAGCTGGAGCAAGCACGTGGACGGGCAGCCAAGGCGGCCGCTGAGGTAACTGCCTCAGAGCAGACCAAGGCCAGCACGCAGCAAGTGAGCGAACTGTCGAGCAAGGTGGAGGAGTTGAAGTCTGCGCTGAGTGAGCAGCGCTCGAGCCGCCACAAGGCGGAGGACGAATGCGAGGCACTGGAGGGCAAGCTGAAGGAGGCGGTGCACGCACGCGAGAAGATGGAATCTGTGGTGATTCAGCTGACGCGCGCCAACCGCCGCTTGGAGCTTGTGCTGGAGGAGAACGGGGTGCGCCTGCCAAGCAGCCAGCGCATGCAGGACTCTGCGCTCCTGTCCACGTCCACAGTTGCTGCAATGACGGCAGATGCGCTGGCGGGTGGCGACGATGCAAAGCCGAAGGACAGCAAAACCAGCACCACGCATGCAGCTGGGGAAGACGGTGACATCGTTCCTCACACCCCGCGTGCTGTACGCCCAAAGCTTGCGCAGCACACCAGCAAGCAGAACACTAGCCAAGCCGCAGATGAAAGCCAGGACGGCAACACAAGTGCGATGGGTGCCTCTGACGGCACTGGTGCTGCGCCATCCTCGGCATTCCGTCGCCTGCGCTCCACGGCAAGCAGCGGCGTTCCCCCATCCGCAATGAAGACGCGCTCAACCCTGCGGCGCGCGAGCAACGAGGAGGAAGACGGAGACAGCGCCAACACATCCACGCGCTCCAAGCGAGCAAAGGTGACGTTTGCCGATGACACGAAGAACAGGGATGGCCCAGGTGCGCCAACATCCACGGCCTCCAAGAAGGAACCTGCAAGTTCAACGACGCAGACGGGCCCGGCGACACGGCGCCGTGCTCCCACGCTCCGTAGCATGACGCTGCGACCATCATCATCATCATCCTCATCATCGTCAACAACAGCAACGACGACGACGACGACAGCAGCAGCAACAGCGACAGGGGCAGCCACTGTTGCTGGTGGCGCACGCAAACCGCTGAGCGCACGCAACGGCGAGAATGTCGACTCACCGTCGAAGCTGCCACGATCCACCCGCAGTGCACGCCGGGCCGCTGTTGCTGAGAAAGCGCGTGCTGGGACTGCGGCAACGGCTGCTGCTGCCCGCCGCAAACGAACGCTGCAGAACAACGGCGAAGAGGTGCCACCAGAGTGCAACAATCAATGATAAGGTGGATGTTTGAGACACAGTGTGTGTTGTCATGCTTGTGCGTGTGTTGTATTTGTCTTACTGAATCAGAAAGCCTCCATGGCAATGAATGCGTGTGTGTGTGTGTGAGAGAGAGAGAGAGAGTGAGTGAGAGAGAGAGAGAGAGATGGGAGGTGTGCATACCCGGGTGCTTGATTTGTGTTCTGTTTCTGTTCCAGAAAGCCACCCGAAGGGCAAACACGCTTAACTGAACACGTGTGTGTGTGTGTGTGTGTGTGTGTGTGTGTGTGTGTGTGTGTGTGTGTGTGTGTGTGTGTGTGTGTGTGT